CCGCTACCGGTTCTCCAGAACCTGCTGGATTTCACCCCTGGATCAAAGACAGCCTTTTCTCATTATTGTATGTCTGTCTGGCCTCAACTTCCCTTGGACACTCCAGGTGATTTCAGGGACCTCATAATATGGGACTTATTGAGCAACTAAAAGCAATATTGCAGAAACTAAAGAGACAGACAGAGATACGATATTTGAATTTATTTGTGAAACTTGTTAATAGTCCATTTCTGTTAGAGGAGTGTGGAGGTAGTGTATATGTGTTTCTATGCTATGTCATTTCCAAGACTTGGGAGAGGAGCTAGACCCTCTAATAACAATAAACAAGAAGGCCTAATATATTATTTTAAAAAATGTTGTGGCAGTAAAAGTTGTCTTTAAAACAAAAAGTGGAGTTCAAACTTGCTCATGAGAGCCCTGGAGAAATGCAAATGATGTGTGAACATAGGTCTCTATACCTCTTATACATCTTGATCTTTAAAATGGGCCAATGATTGCTGGGAGATCTAAAATAGATAGGTGAGAGTTTGGATCTTTAAAAATAAGCTAGAATGAGTTCCAAGCTAGAATGAGAGCACACAGAACACTCCCAGAGCAGACACAGGTAGTAACAATCTAGTGCCTAAAGAGAGATCAAAGGGTGGTAAAGAAATACTGCAGTGTTAACCTAGTAAAAAGATTAGGGCCGTGTTCTCCATTCGGCTGTGTTAGCCCTCTGGAACATGTTCAAATCATGTAGTGAAAGAAAAAAGAAATAAAATAAAAAGGATTTGGAAAAATGGAACTCATTGGCTTGAGAAAGCCCCCTAAAATAACGATTGGTTTGCCTGAAGAAAGTATGAAAGGAAATATTTGTATGTGGATCTTTTTTATGCAAGCAGTTTGAATGAAGGATAAATGTGTAAGTATGCTGATGTGTAAGTGCCCATGTGTGTTGACTCCCTATCTCCAGACTGTGAAAGGGGTTAGTTATTTTGACGAAGGGTAAGCAGAAATAAGAAAGAAATTCAGAAGGCTCACAGAAACGCTATCTTCCTAGCAGATGCCCTTAGGCAGGAGAAGTGGGGAGGAAGGGGGCACAAACTGGAAGAGGTAGCGAGGAGTGGGAGTTCAGGGAATCTGAAGTAGTATGGGCATGGAAGAGGAAAGATCCCCTTGGGACCAACCAGTGTGCTATATGCAGGAAAGAAGGTTATTGGAAGAGTGGATGCCTGGTGGCTATAGCCATGAAAGCAGAAAAAGAAGAGTGAAGAGACCAGGGGCAGGGAGCTATTGCTCCCTCAACCCCCAAGCCCATGGTGGAAGTCCAAATTGGGGGATCTAAACATAAGGTGTTAAAAGATACAGGAGCCAGTAGATCTGTCCCTAACAGACCTACTGCTCCTCGGCCTACCGATGAGATACCTTTTGTTGGGGCTTCAGGAAAGGCTATAATGTGCCTGAAACAACAAAAGCCCAAATTGCACAGCAGGAGGTTAAAAACTTAGGGTATGGCATCTCTGCAGGACAGCTGGAGACTTTTAGCCTAAGGAAGAAAGCAATCCATTAAAGCTCCTGTTAACAGAAAACAATTGGTATTCTTGGGGATGGCTGGCTTTTATAGAATTTGGATTCTTAATTTTTGATTGTGAAGCCCCTTTATGAGGCTGTTAAAGGGGGGATGGGAAAATAGTTGAATGGATTAGATAATGCCAACAAACATTCACACAAATAGAGAGTGAGCTTATGGGAGCACCGGCACTAGGGCTTCCAGACACCTTTTACTCTATTTGCACACGAATGGGAAGGCATTGCAATGAAAGTTCTCACCCAGAAATTAGGCTCATGGCAAAGACCTGTGGCATTGGGATGGCTTGTGAACAGGGGCAGCAACAGCCCTGCTAGTCGAAGAAGCTCAGCAGTTACACTATCACTTTAGCTCATAGTAAAAATCAAAATATTCAAAATATTATGGAAGTAAAGGCCATCAAGCCAAGTATTTGACCCTCTTGTTTGATTCCCCAGCCATACAATTAGAGGTACTCAATCCAGCTACACTCTTGCCCCAGATGGGTTGCATCATGATTATGTACAGGTGGTAGATTCAGTCTATGCCAGTAGACCCAATCTTTGTAATCAGTCTATCCCAAATGCTGACTATGAATGCTAGTAGCTTTATGGTAGAAGACCAGAAAGGCAGGATATACAATGGTCACACCATGGGAAGTTGTAGAAGTCAACCCATTAACAGTAAACATTTCTACCCAACTAGCTGAACAGATCACTCTAACTAGAGCCTTACAGCTGGCTGTGGGACAAACATTACTAACAAATATACCTTTGGAGTCTTGCATGCCCATGGAGCTTTATAGAAGGAGAGAGGGTTATTAAAGGCAAGAGAATCAACTGTTAAATATAGCCCACAAAGTTTAAAATTATTGGAGGCTGTTTAGCAACCAAAACCAGTAGCAATCTTTCATGTATTCTAAGATACCCCTTTACACAAAAGGAAATTGGGCTGCAGATAGAGCTGCTAAGGAAGCCACCCTACAACACTTAGAATTACCAGCCTACCTAATACCTATTTCTCCATACACACTTCTCCATTCTCTTATACACCCTAGGATAGGACATGGTCCACATCAATTGGAGGAAGGGAGATGAATGATGGGTGGTGGAAGGTAGAGGGCGGACACGGGGGTGGTGGTGGGGGGTGGTGGTGTCAAAAGCACTGGTAGACTTTGTGACATGCTGTGTAGTAGGCAAGGGTCTCTATTCCGCTGCTTCCCAAGCTGTAGCAGCTTGTCTGATCTATGCCAGAAATAATCCAAAAGCAGCCAGGCACCCACCCCTTAGGAGTCCAACTTAACAGCAACTACCCAGGGGCAATTTCAGAAATAGGCTTCACTGAAGCAAGGTTTTAAGTATGTTTTGGGACTAAAATGTAGCTTCACAGAATGGCCTGAGGCTTTTGCTTGCAGGACTAATAAAGAGCATGAAATAGTAAACGTCCTACTGGAAGAAATTATTCCTAAGGTTTGAGTTGCCAAATAGTATATTGTTTGATTGTGACCCATATTTCAGAGCTAAGGTTTGTGTGAACAGTTAAGCACCACTTGGAAGCTTTACTCAGTCTACCACCTGGCAAGTAGTCCTATGGCAGAAAAAGGTAATGATTTACAAAAACAACAGCTAGCTAAGATGTGCCAGGAGGCTCACTTGTCCTCACCTCAAACTTTGCCACTCACATTGTTAGAGCTTCACATTGCACCTCAAAAGCGAATAGGCTTGAGCCTCTTTGAGGCCCTCCCTAAAGGCAGAGGAGAGGTCCATCCCACTGGTGGGCGAACTGACCTTGTACCAATATGTAAGACAACTCGCTGGTGTTATGAATTTTCTTTCCCATTATCTGTAGGAAAATCAATACCCTGGATTAGACCATCCTGTACATCCGTTTCAGCTTGCAGACTGGGTGCTTGTAAAGACATGGGGACCAACAACCACCTTGGATCAGAAATGGAAGGGACCGTTCCAAGTGCTTCTGGCCACCCATATGGCACTAAAAGTGGAAGGCCTGGCATCTTGCATAGATCACTCCCAGAGCGAAGAAATACCCACGATCTGCCATTCCTGATTCTTGGACTACGCAGCCTGTGACTTCCTCAGTAAAAGAACTGGGATTTAAGTTCTAAATTCTGGAACCATAGTTGTGTGAGAGAAGAACTACAATCTCCCATAGGTGTTTTCTCAATTAGAAAATTTCCCCAAAAGGTATTTCTAGCTACCCACACTAGAATTAGGAGTATTACCCAATTATTACCACTAGATAATTGGTGTGTGTGTGTGAAGGCTGAGATATTAAGACAAATAGACTTCACAACTGTCAGGATGAGACCATACAATTTGTTATGTAACTATGCTCCTCCTATCCACCTATATTATACCCACTTTACCTGAAAGAAGGATTAGAAACCATAGGGACATTGAACAATCCAGAAAGTACCTGACCAACCCCTTACTTTGTTCAGTGGGCTCTGGTCCCTCAATAATGCCATGTATCATATACAAGCAGTGGAGGAAATCCTAGCTAATGAGACTGGGAAATTTTTTTATTGCTGCAGCAAAAAAACAAGAAGCCATTTGGAAAATGACAGTTCAGAATAGGATATCATATTGGCATCCTAAGGAGGGATGTGTGCACTACTTGGACAACAATGCTGTGTGCAAATTCTGGACATATCGGAGGAATTCCACACCCGAACTAGACACATCACAAAGTTAGCTGCAACACCACCACCTCATGGATGAATGGAAAGGCTGATGACATTGACTGACAGGATGGTTGCCTGATTTCAACTGGTTAAAAACCTAATAATGACCCTGGCAGGCATAGTCATTGTTCTCTTAATCACCTGTTGTGCATTACAATGCCTTCTGCTTTGCCTTTCCACCTGTAAGCAAACTACGGGGTCTCCCAGTACACACGGATATTGATGTTGGGTGAATCTTGGAAATTTAAATCATTTTCAGATTCAAAGTGGGGGGGGAGGGGGAATGATGGGCTGTATGCTAAAATAAAGCCAACAAGTAAATCAGGAAGCCTGTAATTGGGGAGTGTGTCTAGCAAGAACAAAGAATGCTTATCTACACAAAATATACATGTGTAAATCTTGTAACAATTCTGGGTAGTTAGAAAGCTGATAAAAGTAACAAGAGTTAGACAAGTTGCAGGCCTCATCTAAAAATTAGGAATGGTGAAGGCCTGCAGCCAATAAAATGCGTATTAGGTAACTCCTGGGGCATTCATTAGCCAAGGCTTAGGAAGAGGGACAGCTAGAGACCAATAGAACAAATTGTAGAATTTTGACTAAAATGTTCATTAGATGATATTTCTCGCCTTGTCCCACCTTCTCCTTTAGTGAAAAGGTATAAAGCTTACTTAATCCTTTGTTCTTGGCGTTTTGGCCAGGAGCCCTTTTCCCTTGGAGTACTCCAATAAAAAGCAAACAGAAAATCTGCACCTTGTGTCTGGAGTCCATCATTGGCTTCGGCACCAGGCTCAGTCAGACCCCGATTGGGGACAACAGAAGAGTGGCAAAAAGTGGAAGAGACACCCCTGCTTCCCAATTGACAGGCATAGGAGATACTCAACTCCGGGATCTCCAACTAGAGATAAGGCGCAAAATCAACGTTCAGCCTTTCCAACACGGTTCTCCAGCAGGCGGAAGGCAAGACCACGACGGGAAGCGCTCCTTCGTGTCTCGGGGAGAAATCAGAATTCCCTCCTTCGGCCTTTCCTCGGACTGGGCACGGGGATAGTGACGCGCACTGGAGGAGGAGGGTGGTGGGGGAGTAAGAGAAGCAAACGAGCCTTCACTTTGAGGCGGAGAAGCAACGCCAGAGCCTGGGAAAAGAGGCGGGGCAGCTCTTCCCGTCGCCCAATCAGGACCGCCCGACCCGGGGAGCTTTGAAAGAAGCTCGGGGAGCGCTCGTGGTCTTCTTGCCGGCTTTCCAAACGCAGCCGGTGGCCGCTCGGCTCCTGCTACCGTGTTAGTGGTCGCAGATTCCGGGTCGTGGTGGAACTTTTTCTTACTGTTTAGAGACCTATTGCTGTTTCTCTCCTTTTCTCCTTCTGGCTTTCATTCACTTCTTCTTCTTCTTCTTCTTCCGACGACGAAGACCAGACAAACAAGGATCTCTTGCAAGCAAGCCCTCCATTCCCTTCGCCGCTGGGTCGAGCTTTGCTTTTTGTTTTTTTGTTTTTTTAAAAATCCTGCTCTTTTTCCCAAGCCGCGAGCGAGCTAAGCCAAGTAGTCCATTTCGGTTCCTCGGCGCCACCGAAGCTTTACCGTTGGTGGGGAGACTAAAAGGCAAGGGCGGCTTTGAATGGGGTCTCGCGGCTGTTTTGCGCCGGCTGCATCCTGAGCATTCCCTCCGAACGCGCTCCAGGTAAGGATCGCGGGCGGGAAAGCCCGCGCGCCGCTTTCTCTTCCTTCTTTCCTGCAAGCGGGGGAAAGTCCTGCAAAACGGGGGGTATGTATAATATCGGTGGCGCCGGTGCAGTCGTTAAGTTGCGTTGGTGGTGTTTCACCTCCTTACGTATAGTACTCGCGAGTCGAGAGAGGCTCTGCTTGATTCCGTGGCTGACACTGACCTTCTTTCCATCGGTTCTTTCCGAGGGGGTTGGAAATCCACTGGGGCCAGCAATCGAGCGCTGCTTCCCATTCCGTTCTGGAGGAAGCCCGGTCCAGTCAAAGGGCGGGCGATGCTCCGTTTGCAGGGAAGAGAAGCTGCGGCGAGCGGAGGAAGCGCTAGCGGGCGACAGAGTAGGAGTTTGCAAGCGAGCCTTGGGAGCAGAAGCGGTCCTCCTTTTCCCCTTAGGGCAGTGTTTCTCAACCTTGGAAGCTTGAAGATGGGTGGACTTCAACTCCCAGAATCCCCCAGCCAGCAGTGCTGGCTGGGGGATTCTGGGAGTTGAAGTCCACCCATCTTCAAGCTTCCAAGGTTGAGAAACACTGCCTTAGGGACCCGGAGAACTTGAGCCGAGCAACTTGCAGAGCTCGCTGCCCCCGGGAACGATGGAAGAAAGACCTTCGGGAGCCCGGTGGGTGTCATTTCCCACCAGGCTTCGTTTGGAACATAGCCTAAGGCCCCGCTGGATGTTCAGGTTGTCTTCGCTTTACGACCACAATTGAGCCCAATGTTTCTGTTGTTAAGTGAGACATCGATAAGGGAGTTTAGCCTCCTTTTAAGACCTTTCCTGCCACAGTTGTTAAGGGAATCACTGTTAAGTTGATAAATGAGTCACCAGGTCGTTAAGTGAATCCGGCTTCCCCATTGACTCGGCTCCTCAGAAGTCGCAAAAGGGGAAATCACATGACCTTGGGGCATAGCAACCGTCATAAATACGAACCAGTTGCCAAGGATCTGAATTTTGATGGGGAGGGGGGATGCTGCCAAGGTCATAACTTGGAGCCTGGATAGCTCTGCAGACTAAGCACTGTAATTTAACACCAGCTGTCTGCAATTAAAGTAAATTCGAATCTCGCCAGGCTCAAGGTTGACTCAGCCTTCCATCCTTTCTAAAGTAGGTAAATTGAGGACCCAGTTTTGGGGGCAATAAGCTGACTTTGTATAAAATATACAAAAGTATGAAGGCTATTGCTTAACGCATTGTAAGGCGCCCTGAGTCTCCGGAGAAGGGCGGCATATAAATCAAATTAAAAAAAAGAAACCTGAATAAAACGGCCATGAGTCCCATTTTTTCCCCAGTGCTCTTGTAACTTTGAACGGTCACTAAATGAACTGTTGTAAATCGAGGACTAGCTTTGTGGCGATGCTGACCCCTCTCAAGGTTGCTGGGTTCCTTTCACTTCAAGGCTTTATTTTAACGTAGGGCTGTCTCGATCCCCCTTTCCCCATAAACTTGCTTAGGGGAGGTAGCTGCGGTCACTCGTAGTCGAGAGTAGTGGGAAGAGGAAGGCTGGCGGACAGCCCATTGCCGGCGCTTCTCCTCCAGAGGCTTCAGCCTTACGGAGTTCCAGCAAACTTCCCTCCAAGATGGGAGGGAAGAGAGCGGCCTACAAGACGGGGGTTGTCTGGCGCCGGGAGAAACCCAGGCGCCGGCTTGGAAAGCGGAGGGCCTGAAACGCTGCTCGGCTCGCGGGGACGAGGAGCGAACAGCAAAGCCTCGGCCGCCCGTTGCTCCGGAGCCCAGGAGAGCCTTTGTTTCTCGGCCGTGTGATCGGGCTAGCGGTGCCGCCCAGACGCAGCTTGCTCGCCCGCCTCTCTCGGGGTGGTTGCAGCGGGGTTTATCCCGCTTGCTCAGCCAACGGATTCGATTGAAAAGCAGCACCGGAGTAGGTTGTGGGTGGAGAACGAGGAGTCACTGACTGCGCCCTATCCTAGTCACTGCGCTCTATCCTGCATGGGAGCGCAAAAGATCAGTCCCTCCTCCTGGAGAGGTAGGAGCTTCCTTGCCACCCGTGTCTCCTAGACACACGTTGGTCCTCTTTTACCTGTTGTGGTGAGATCCTTTGGCGTGCAGAGATGAAGAGTTGGTGTTCATGGCTGGTGGAGCAAGGACCTCCTGCGACCCCCCCCCTTCCATCTCTGTTTCAGCAAGGCTCGCTTTTTGCTTGTTTCCATACGTGCACCCTGAACCTGGTTGGAAGGAGGTATATGCAGAAGGAGCTGCTCTCCCAGGCCGTGAGATAAACCAGGCTGGGTAAATGAGATTTCTGGCGTGGGGTGGGTTGCCCACAGCAAAACAAAGCCTTAGCTTGCTTCATCTATAGATGTTCCCTAATAGGATAAGGAGGATCCTTCCTTTTGTTGGGAGACAAAGGAACTGCTTGGAGAAGTTTTGGTTCATTTATTCCCGGCTGCAAAGGAATAATTAGTTTTCTAAGTTACACAGTAAAGCTTCTGAAGTTTTATATTCCTATCACAACTGGGGGAAGGAGTGGCTTTGCTGATGAAATACAGCCATAATGTTTTGTGTTCTTGTGATAACGTATTTGTGGACTTTCCTTACAAGCTGCATCTACTGATTTAGGATGACAGTCTCATCCGACAGAAGAACATTTCTTTCTTCAGGTGCCATTGCACACTGTGTGACATGCATTCATTGAATTCTGTTGGTGTTTCTTCCAAGTAATGTGGTAGATTAAGGAATGTAATGTTAGGAACATAATCTTGAGAAATGCAGACCTCTTAGAGTGCAATTTAATATAAAAATATTTACGAATATACAACCTTCTCTTGATAGCATCTTTGGTTCTGCACTCTAGTATCAACACTTCAGCATTGCAGCATCAACTTCAATATAGTTAATATTTATTGACTTTTTCAGAATGGGTTTGGAATGAACCAGGATAACTACTGGTTAATAATTCCATGCAGTTTTCTAGGCAACATTTTCAGAAGTGGTTTGTCATTGCCTCCTTCTTAGGGCAGAGAGAGAGGGAGGGAGGAGGAGTGAGAGAACTAATCCAAGATTGCCCAGCTGTCTTTGTCTCTAAAGCAGGACTGAACCTTGGAGTTGCCTCAGTTTTTACCCTGGTACCTTGACTTACTGGACCAAAATAACTACCACAAACAGATTTGGCTATAAAAGCATTTCTATCCTTTAAAGCTTCAATTAGTAATTCCTGGAATTTTTAGGTAGTCGCTTGAAGTAAGCACCACAAACACATCCGATTTTAATTCCATATGCTATAAATACTGATATAGAATATACCAGTATATTCTAAGATACATGCTTAATAATTGCATGCATACCTTTGCACAGACATGTTTCCAAATTGCTTTGACACATTTTTTCCCCCTTAAACAAGTTGCATTTACACAGCTGGCATTCATTTTCTGCATATTTTGAAAGAGATATTTGAAGGAAAGCACCCTAAATTCATTGTTTTTAATTGTAGTGCTCTACTGAGTAATCTGATTTTTCTGTTCCTAGCAAGTAATCTAAATATATTATTTGGCAGAAGTAAACAGCTCTGTCACCTTGCCCACTAAACAATAGCAATATGTCTATTGTGATAACTTAAAACAACAATGATAATGAACTGTGAAGATAGTCTGTTCCAAAGAGACCATCTGGCTGTTTGCAGGCAGTCTGCTACTTCTATGGAAAAATATTAACAACTCACTTTTATCACTTAAATATCCATATCTATATATTTAGAATTTGGAATATTTTCATAACCTGGTTATCTTGTTAAAGGAGATGTCATCTGTTGAAAATGTTGAATCAGGTGTATTTTGATAACGTGTAGTATCTATATATATCTGCTCAGATGCCTCACAAGTGTGAACATAATGCGTTAAGCCATGGCTTCTTCAACTATAACATGGTTTGTTTCTATTTTATCATAATTTATTGAATAAAACATGCTGAACAAGATGAAACAAATTACACAATGATTTAATGTGGTACATAAACCCAGCCACTGAGCTCAATAAGGCTTACTCACATTAAAGGTACATAATATTCACAACCTTGCTATTTATCAGAATCTAATGGAAAAATTTAAAGTTTCCTGCAAGGAAATTCTGGAAAGAGGAAGAAAGAAAGCTTTTGTAACTGTGGACTTTCCTGATGACAACCTAACTCTTTTATGCCGAACTCAATGTTTCAACAGGTTATTGAAGTATGTTAGTATCTTAGTAATACTCTCTCCACATTAACACTTAGAAGAATACTTTTGCTTATGAGCTGCTGAGAGGACGCCTAAGAGATGCTGAAACTTCACTTAATGGAAATCAAGTCTATGCTTACATTATTAATAAGAGGAAGCGGATGTCCTCTGTTGGAAACTTTCTGTGCCATAATCAAAGCAAACTCAAACATGAGTTTTTTTTTTTTAATCCAGTCATTTTTGGCATTACTAGATCTGGGCTGCAGAAATCTTAATTCCACTAGAGATGGCAGCAAGAACAAGGATTTTGCTGCCAATTTCTCATCCAGATTTTTGTATCCCACAGTAGTCCCTAGCCAGTTCAGCTTTGCTCTAAGAACCTAAAGAATTTGTATATGTATGTTTGTGTAATACATATCTAGATGGAAACGATGCCTGTAGATTTCCACAGCAGTTTTTAAGAACCTTCCTTAAAGCTGAAAATTGGGATTGCTTCAGAGATGGTATTCAGCAGGTTCTGACCAGTTCTAGAGAACCGGTAGCGGAAATTTTGAGTAGTTTGGAGAACCGGTAAATACCACCTCTGACTGGCCCTGCCCCCATCTCTCTGCCTTGCGAGTCCTAGCTGATTGGGAGAAAATGGGGATTTTGCAGTAACCTTCCCCTGGAGTGGGGTGGGAATGGATATTTTACAGTATCCTTCCCCAGCCACACCCACCAAGCCACGCCCACAGAACCGGTAGTAAAAAAATTTGAATCCACCAGTGGATTGCTTCCTGAAGAAAGACATGTTCAATTGCACTG